CGTTTATATCTGTGTTTCACTTCCTTTTTGAGAGAAATTAACCAAACGTCAAATTAAACCCTTGTTATACACTTCATTTTGAATATCTACATATCATTTATACATATTTATGATAAATTGAATGATTTAAAGGTGAAAATGATCCTTTTCATTTCAGGATTAGGAATAGAAAACGTGAAGAAGTAAAAAGTAAATACAATTTAGTAAATGTTTTCTTCCTGATTTTGATAAAGTTCGAAAAATATGATGAAACACATTTTTAAAAACTAAAGTTGCAACCATTACTCATACCATACATGAAATTTAAATACAAGAAAATACAAGAAGTGTATGTATGAAATATAATGAGCGTTATATTAAAGGGTTTAAATGTAGCCAGAACATTAACAAAAACACTAGGTCCACATTCTCTTTTAAATAAAGGAATGTTTCTGTTAGATTTAAGAAAATATTTATAAGGTACAATATGCAAACAGCTACATGAAATATTTTGTTCTGTATTTTAAGGAATACAAAGATATTTCTGGTACTTACAGTGAATGATGAGTTTGGTTCCTCCACCAAAAGTGTACCACAGTGATACAAACTCATTAAGCGGCTGTACAAAAACCTCCTGCACTCTTAACAAACACCTATCCACTAAAGAATTCACACTTTTCAAAGAAAATTGACCTTTTTAAATGTTTTTCAGCAATAAAAATAATTCACCTATGTTGGCAAGCAAATATTTTTATGATTTAGGTCATTTTAATCTAATTGTAACACCTAAGCACTGATAACTGCCATAACTTCACAATATCCACACAACTAAACTAAAATTAAACTAATAATCAAATAAAATGATTCAGCAATTCTGACAAAAAGCTCTTTTACCATATAAACTATTTATAAGTCTAAAACAACTTTTTGTAACCTTGCATTAAAATGGTAGGAATAAATTTGAAGAGTGAAAAGACAATTATCAATACCAAAACAGAAATGATCTTAATCCAAATTTAGAAATGTGTTAATATTTTTTTATCTAATCCAAATGCATCTTCCTCCCTGCTATTAAAAAAGAAAAATGGTTTAAATTCCAAGAGTTTATCATCTGATTTCAGTATTCTTCAGCGTGTTGAGAGCAGATAAGTCATTTCCATAGAGAGGAGGCTTTGCATCCTCAGCTGATCCTCC